TCCGGAGGAGCCGGGCAGCAGTGGTCGTGCCCACGGCCATTCCACACGGAGGGAGGCCCCACGCTCTGCCAGCTCAGCCCCAGGACACTCCAAAGGCCACTGGCTGCCTCTCACGGCCCCCGGTCTGGATCTTCTCCCAGCACCCCCTGGGGACTGAAGCTGCCACATGGCTGCCTGGCAGTGTGGCGGGTGATGTGCAGGACCAGGGGCTTAAGGCACGGAGAGCTTCAAAAAGGAATTCGACAGGTGAAGAACATCAGGAGAGCCCTGCCGGATCAGGCCACTGAGGGTCCCTCTAGTCCAGCCTCCCGTCTTCTCACCCACCGGCCACCCAGTTCCTCTGGAGGTCCAACAACAGGGCACGGAGGCCAAGGCCTTCCCCTGAGGTTGCCTCCTGACACCGGGATTCAGAGGTTTAGTGCCTCTGAAGGTGGAGGTTCCCGTTATTCACCATGGCTAGTAGCTACTGATAGAACCATCCTCCATCAATCTGTCAGATCCCTTTTTAAAGCCATTTATTCCTGTGGCCACCACTACATTCTCAGGCCAAGAATCCCACGTTTTAATCACTCTCTGTGTAAAGTGGTCTTTCCATTTGTCTTTTCAGAATTCAGATTCATGCCTAGATTGGCTAATGATGGCCAGTAAAATGAAGCTCAACCCGCGGGAGCCGGAGGCCCCGTTGCTAGGCAGAAAAGCGGGGCACAGGTGTGGTCTCCGGCTTGTCTGGGTAATGCACCCTGCAAGAGATCAGCCATGCAGCTGAGGGCACACCTGAATGGCCAGTAAAATGAAGCTCCGGAGGCCCCGTTGCTAGGCAGAGAAGAGGGGCATAGGTGTGGTCTCCGGCTTGTCCGGGTAACGCACCCTGCAAGAGATCAGCCATGCAGCTGAGGGTACACCTATATCCAGCCTTGCCACTGGATGCCAAGGCATGCCAGCTCCATCCTTTGCTGACTGGGCCACAGACCCCTGCACGTGGGTCACATACATGTTGAATCACCACCACATGTGACGGCACGGGGCTCTCGGGGTGGAAAGAAGAAGAGGAGGAGGAGGAGGAAGAGACTGGATTTATCCCCCGCCCTTCACTACCTAAGGGAGTCTCAGAGCAGCTCACAAACTCCTTTCCCTTCCCCTCCCCACAACAGACACCCTTGTGGGGTCGGTGGGGCTGAGAGAGCTCTGACAGAAACTGCTCTTTTTTAAGGACAACTCTTGTCAGAACTACGGCTTGCCCAAGGTCATCCAGCAGCTGCAAGCGGAGGAGGAAGAAGGATTGGATTTATACCCCGCCCTTCACTACCCAAGGGAGTCTCAGAGCGGCTCACAAACTCCTTTCCCTTCCCCTCCCCACAACAGACACCCTGTGAGGTAGGCGGCGCTGAGAGAGCTCTTTCCAGAACTGTCCTTGAGAGAACAGCTCTTATCAGAACTACGGCTTGCCCAAGGTCATCCAGCCAGGTGCAAGCGGAAGAGTGGGTAATCAAAACCGGTTCTCCCAGATTAGAGTCCGCGCACTTAACCGCTTCACCAAACTGGCTCCCACTGGAAAGCACTGTCAAGTGGCAAGAGACCAACCCAGATGGTTTGCCACGGCCTGCCTCTGCATAGCAACCCAGGACTTCCTTGGCGCTTTCCCATCCACCAACTGGGCCATTAGCTGGTTCCAAACGGAACGGCCAGGCTATTCACCGGGGGGGGGGGCAGAGGGCTGCGGAGTCCACCACCACGACTCAGTGCCAGCGCCTGAAGATCCTCGCTGCCTTCCAGTTTGCTTCCAAGCACACACCAAAGCACCCAAACAGACTTCGGCCAGCCTATTCGAAGGACTGCTCCAGGCATCTGGATCCTCCGTTGGGGCCCACCTCCAAGTGTGGAACCAGGTAGGGTGCGGCTGGCAGCAGGGCCTTCTCTGGGACGCTCCCCAGCTCTGGGAGGCCCTCTTCCGAGTACTGGCTCTGTTCTCCTTTAGGTGACAATTGAAAACATTTTGAAATGATCTCTTGGTGGTGCCCAGCCGTTGCTTAAAATACCTTATTTTACATTCTTTATTGCTGGCTGCTGGACCCAGGTTTTTATAAGATGTTGTTTTATTGTGATGGGTTGTTTTTAAGCCATCTTGGAGGCCTATTTAGGTGGAAATGTAGGGTATAATTATTTCTGTAAATAAGAACGTTTGCTATAAACACGGGCCCTGGAGAAAGAACGCTTACGGGTCCAGCCCTGCCCTGCCCAGCACTCTGGAGGTGAGAGAAAGCAGACCTGTATGTGCGGCATCCCTCGAGGCCTCACCTGCACTCTGACCTGGAGCGCCTCCCCCACCCCACCCCACCCCCCTTCCTGCCCAGCTGAGTAACCACGGATTTCACGCTCATGAATTTTGGAGGGGGGGGGGAAAAAATATAATACCCATCTTTCCAGAGAAGCCGGTTTCATCAGCTGTTTGTTTGTTTAACAAATAAAACCCTCAATCCAGTTTCAAGCTTCCTGAAGTTGTGGCAAGAGGCTATGTGCGCATGGAGGGGGGGGGTCAGGGGAGACACAATGAAATGTGCCCTGGCAAACGTCCCGTCCCTTCCTCTCCCTCAGCCGACAACTGGCCTACCCTATCCCTGCTGCATCCCACTCCCTACAACCGCCAGGAGGCGAGTTTACAAACAGGCACCTCGTTTCCTCCAGGGCTACGGCCTCCCCTCCTCCTCGCAACACGGGAGTGTTTCCCAGCACCCCTGGAAGCACTCTGTGTACATTCACTTCATCCCAGATGGCCACATCCCCGTGCGCTGACGGCGGATGGGAGGGGAGGCTTCCAAGGGGGCCCCCCCGGAGAGAACGCAGAGAGTCAGAAGGGTCTCTGGGGCAGGGAGGGGGAGCTGGCTGTCAGAAGGCCTGAGGTCGGGGGCACACGAGGGCCCTGGAGTCCTAGGAAGGGGGGTTGAACCGGTTGCACGGGAGCAGGAACCATGCCAGTGCCTGGATCCTGGTCTAGGGTGTGGGACGGAGGGAGAGGCACAGCCAGAGCTCCCAGACATTCTGTCTCTGTGGGGCGGGAAGAGCTTCCAAGATGCCAGCGTGCCAGCACAAGCCTGCTAGGACCTGGGCCACCAGGTCTCCCCCCAGCCCCTCCGCTAGCCCTGGGAGTCCGTTTCCCACAGAGCCCTTTCCTCCTCCGAGGCAAGCCTGGGAGAGGTTTTCACTTCCCCGTTCCTTCTGTTTTGCCTGCATCTGCTCTGTTGCCAAAACAGGAACGGGGAGCCAACCTTACCTTCTCTGGCCTTACAGGGAAGCGCAGAGAGATGCCTCCTCCGTTTGAGATGGGCGGCCATGTCAGTCTGCCAGAGTCCAGGAGCATCTTAAAGACTATCAACATTTGTGGCCGGGGAGGGAGCTTTCGGGAGTCACTGGGGGGGACTCATCAGAGCTCCTCCCCGCCACAAATGTGGCTGGTCTTTAGGATGCTCCTGGACTCTGGCCCTGTCCTTCATTTGGAATGGGTGACGAGGGTAAAGCCGGCCAAAGGCTGATCCAGTGAGGCAGGCCAGGACACCTGGGTTCCCATGGGGCGGGGGGGGAGGAGGGAGCTTCGTCAATCACAGCTCAGCAAGAAGCAAAGATCTTCGTGTCTGAAAGGAAGCGAGAAGGACCTGCAACGTTCTTCGAGAAGGACCTGCAACGTTCTTCGTGTCCCCAGGAGCACCGGCAGAGCCAAAACACCATATGGACAGGAAATGCGGAGGAAGTTCCCCACCCCTACCTGCAGGGGAACAAACGGCTTCTCTCTCTCTCTCTCTCTCACACACACACACACACCCACACACCCGTCAGAGAAGCCTGTTCAGGGGAGTGGTGGTGAAGGGCTATCACTTCTCCGCATCACAACGGCTTTTCCTCCAGGGCAAAGATTCAGCGGCTTGCTTGGGCTGGGTGCTGGGAGACCGTTGGGTCTCTGGGCTTCGCTCAGCTGCCTCTTTTCCCGTGCCAGGACTACACCTGGGTCCTCAGGGAGCTGGGGCCGAGTGGGCCGAGTGTGGGGATTCCTGGGCTCTTCAGGAGCAGGGTGGGGCTTAGCAGGTTCGGGCAGGAGCCTGAACGGCCGGGTTGGGTTCCCAGGAGTTCTTTCCTGACGTGCCCTGCTGCGCAATTCAGGTAAAGAGGACCACTACAGGAAGTTCTGGGACGAAAATAAAGAAAGATGGCCTATTTCTGCCCTGGACAGACCTTCCCAACTGAGACATCCAGGGGCCTGTTCAGACTCGAAGGAAGCAAGCCCGAAGAAGACTCGAGGGCCACCTGCAAGGAATGTGTAAAGCATTCTGGGGAGATCT